ACGGTTAAACGGCACAAATGCACGCTCGAGTTCACATGATAACTGTTCCATGTTACAACGAATATCGAATACCCGGCGAATACACTCTAATTTAGACGTAAAATCGGCGCAATCAGTGCTTGTTAACTGGACGAATCCGGCGTCGGAGTATTTGTGACCTGAAACAATCGTGATATAAGAGAGGAAAAAAAAGAGGATGAGAGACGAGTTTAATGAAGACGAGGGTGTAATTCGAGCTACTTAGATCATACATTTTTATTATCTATCAGTATCCAAGTAATCGAAAACGAAAAAAAAGAAAAAAAAGATTCCAATAGAAAATTAGAATTGGAACTGCGTATAGAATATTATAACGAATATTTAACTTTGAAAATCTTGGTGTATCGTTTCATATACAATAAATTTATCGTAAATCCAAAAGAATCTAACGCAACAATGAATATTCATAATTCACTTGACTTACATAAAATTTCACAATGTAAATGTAAATTCAACAATATGAGATACCAAAGCCCAAATTGCTAATGAAACACTATGAATAACATATATATATATATTTACACGAATCTTCTTATTCATTATTTTAAAGTGAGCCACTTCCTTAAAGTGGTGAACACTCGTGTCATCTTATACATCCAATACGAGCAATAAGCCTAACCCAACCTGCAAAAATTCCTTGCCAAACACACTAATTAACCATCACAATTATTTCAAACTCTCCCTCTCCCCCTCCAAAAAAAATTAACGCTTCGTTCACGACATCATCATCGATATTTCGAAAGTTTTCTCAAAAAAAAAAGAAAGAAAGAAAGAAAAAGGAAAGACTCGAAAAACCAATAGCTCATTTCTTTTCCTCCTCCTTCTCCTCCTCCTAGGATCAACTCCAAGGATGAACTCACACGACAAATCCGTTGAGCTTCGAGTTATGTCCGCGTTATCTGCAATTGCTGACAACAAAAAAAAAAAGAAAAGAAAAGAAAAAAGGAGGGGGTGCGATTGAAAATTTCGAAAACGGCGAGCCTCGTGAGAACGCGTATCGCGAAAGTAGTCCGTTAAGTGTCGTGGACGGGAGAGTGGTACGGGGCTCAATGATGAGTACACAGATCGATGCCGGTTAAAGTGGAAGAAAGACAAGCCGAGGGCGAGATGTGTGTGTAAAAGACGCGAAAGAGAGAGAAAGAGAAAGAGAGAGAGAGAGAGAGAGAAGTGGAAAAAAGTGGAAAGTGGAGGAAAGGATACGACAGAGACGAGAAGTTTGAAAGAGAGTGGCAGTGATGGCGCACAAACTCTATCTCTATCTCTCTCTCTTTCTCTCTCTCTGGCTTGACGAGTGAAGTTTTCCGCCGGTTTCACGGCTCGGCCTAGTTTGGTAAGCCTTCTAACCTAGAATTATGACGTGGAAACATCGCGAAATCTCGCTCGGATGAGATGGGAATGGTTGTTGCGGCGCACGAGTCGACCAGAGAGTATATTCATTCTGATCATTGGTAAATGGCACTCTCCTCTCTCGCGTGATAAATCGTAACATTTATTTGCTATCCGATCCGATGGAGATGAATCTTTCTCGATGCGACGTTGAATCACGATGAATTGTGTATTAAATAAGGGAATAATCTTTCTTTCTTTCTTTTTTTTTTTTAAGTAAATTTTAAGTTTTCGTTCGTTTATCGTAAAGTTTAGAGAGCGAATGTGAAGAAATATGAGTGTCTTAAAGGAACTGAAGCTGTGTGTGAGGTTCGAAGATTTTTTTGACGGGGATTTTTTTGGAGAGGGGAAGACATGCGAGTATTCGCAAACATATTTGAAATTAATTTTGGAGGAAAAAGAGAGTGCGCCTCTATACAAGTTGTGCAGGAGAAAGAGTCGTTTCGAAAGGGTCTGTTGGTTTTTAATCCCGAATAGGGGAACTTTACGACACTCGTGTCAATATTTCATGCTGCTTAAGCAAATGTTACTGTTACTGGGGGGGAAATATAAAAAGTTTTCCATTGTCGACTTTGTCATACTTTGTGTTCGGGGATGATTGATACGAAGATGTTGATTTTTTAAAGATTTTTTTTAACTTCTTAGGCAATTCTTTAATATAATAAATTTTTCTAAAAATTAAAACATCGTTCAAACGTATCGAGGAAGAAAAATGATAAATTTTTTTCAAAACTTTATTTACCTCACAAATCACGATCGCAAATCAAAAATAATCCTATTCCCAAAATTAATTATTCTCATCCTAAAATATCCCTCGATTAAATATTTTTTTTATCGTTCTTCGCCATTCCATTCTTCTCTTACCAAAAACAATCGACGCTGCACAATGTAGGGGATACATTTATTTATTTAAAATACACGTGGAAGTCGAATTGTTGCGTGGCAACAATGTTTCCCGGAAGTTGGGAAGCCAAGTTAAACGTAGTTTTAATCTATTTTTAGACGGTTGTCGATGACTCACGCCATGCCTAAGTACAAGTACTTTCCATTAGCCGTCACCCTACCTTAGCTTCCCCATTCAACCCTTAGTTAATTCCATGGGAATTCGTTTACTCTCCTTTTACGATTCCTCGACCACCCCGTTTTCCCTTTCGATTCTACTTACTATCGGCTAAACACACTTTCACGGATCAAATCGTATCACGAAATCGAAAGTAATTCGAGAATAATTCGTTTTTCTCTTTTCAGAGAGAGACAGAGACAGAAACAGAGAAAGAGAGAGAGAGAGAGAGAGAGAGAGAGAGAGAGAGAGAGAGA